ATACTCGTAATAGGTTCATGTTGTCCAAAATAAGAGCGGTCTAAGTCTTGACGCAATAGGAACGATGAGCGTAGAAATCTGCTTAGTGAACAAAAGTTCAGACAAGAGAGTAAGTGGGTGGAATCAAATTCACCACTTAATAGCTTTGCGACGAATGTTACCTTTTAATGTTGTCGCCGTCGTTCTAAGGTATTCATGCTTAGCAAGCGACATCTCTCAGCATACGGAGGTAAGTTTAGTGGATATCTCCAAGGAAGTTGCCTCAATACCAGATGAATACGTTTTTTAATACGTTCTATTCTAATGTTCCAGGAAAGTTGGCAAGGAATCCAAGCAACAGATGCTGCCTCAAGAATCGGGCACACAACTTAACAATACAGTGGCTTTAAACAGTACGGATCCGAACAATGTCTTCAGATTCTTGATATGAACCCAAGCTAACGATTTGCCTTAGTGACTACCATGGAACGATGTAAGTCAAATGTAAGCTTAAAGTCCAACATTACACCTAGGTCGCTTACTTGTTCTACTCTTGCGAGTACAAATCCATCAATTGAGTAATCGAATACGATTGGCGTCCTTGTGCGATGAAATGCCATGACTACACATTGTTTAAGTGGCACCAGTCAACAAATTGGTCCAACATTTCTTGGAGCTGACGGCAATCTTCAGCGTCCTTGACAACGATGTATAGTTTGAGATCATCATATCCACTCTGCGGGATGAGCGTCACATCGTTGAAGTAGATTGTGAATTGCTGCCCTGGGGAACACTGGAGGTTGCAACAAAAAGTGACGAACTGCATGAATCCAGGTTGGCACGGAAAGTTCTATTGGAAAGGTACAATTTCAACCAATCAACTCAACCGTCTGAAACTCCCAGACGAGACATTTTCCGATGAAGAATACCATGTTCAATGTAATTGAAGGCTGCTTTCCGGTCAGTATAAAAGGTATCTACTTAAGCCTTATTTTCCAAGTGAGGTTCTGAACGCCCTGGGGATGTCGTAAGATGTATGGGGCTCGGTAGCCGAATGGCGACTATTTTTGCTTACACACTTAGAAATTATCACCGGCTTCGGTAATTTTCACCGAAATCCAAACAGCAGAGCATAAATCCATACAATTGCTTTTAAGCAATTTTAAAACGTTATCTCCATTACAATGACAAACTTTGATCATTTGAACAAGGTTGAACATGCTTTGAAATTATGTTTGAGCAAAATAGGCTTTAAATGAAGGTTAAAATTTTACCGAGCTGCTGAGATTTTGTTAAAAAAAAATACCGACCATGACAATAAACTCACAGTGTGTACTAAGCAGCAGTCGTGGGTTCAATCCTAGGCCCCTTTACATAACTGAGTTGATCACGTTGCATTATTTGCTTATCAAGTTCGAAAATATTACATTACATTCTCAAGTGAATGCAGATCTAGAATCGTCCTTCCCACTAACAAAAACATCCTTTCCATGCAGAGTCTCTAGTAACAACAGATGTTGAACTAACAATACTTGCTCTCCTCGATAACCTCTAGGACGTGGTGGGTGTAAACTTGTAAACTGACACTGCCACTGTGCAAGTGCGTTCCACAGCACAAATCAGCAAGCCGAGAAAATCACGTTTTAAGTTAGCTTCGTATTATTGCTTCTTATGCAATGGGACATCCCGTTTTGTTGTTTTCCCAAACTTTTCCAGGACAAAGTTGTTGAGTTTATCCAGTTTTATGAAACTATGGGTCAATAGCTATCACTTCCATTTGAAATACTCAGTTTTGACAAAAACGCAAACGGTACCGACTTCCGATGAGTGGCAGTAAACTGCAGAACAATATTTCTCAAGAAACGCAAGATGAAATATTTTAAAACCTCAACAGGTTTGATCTTCAAGATGAATATCATTTTTTTGTGAAAAAAGAACTGAGGTAGGTACATGCAACTTGCATAATAAGTGCCTTCGGACATAGTCTGTGCTGTTATAGACCTTGAACGTTCTGATTTGTCAGATTTTGTTTACCACTGAGAAAGGTTAGCTTCATGAATTTGGTTCTTTGTGCAAATTTCGTTTAATCAGGTCAATCTCAGATTAGCCAGTACAAATTGTACGGTAATCGATGTTCATGCCCATAGTTTTTAAATGTGTCGAAGAAAACTGTATTTTTAGTACCTTAAAAGTGTTAATATAAGTTGATTCACCCAAAAATTCAGTTTTAAATGATTCTTTATATAAAACAGCAAAAAGGGTTATCTTCCATTAATTCCACTTTAATAATTTTGGTATCCATGACAGATACGTATTTCGACTACAATGTCCAGTCTTCATCAGTGTCATTCCCACTAAAGAACTTATCAAAATCTAACCCCCTTAAGAACTCATCTCCTAAGCAAGGGGGGTTGAGTACTTAAGGGGGTTAGATTTTGATAAGTTCTTTAGTGGGAATGACACTGATGAAGACTGCACATTGTAGTCGAAATACGTAAATATTTGTCATGGATACCAAAATTATTTAAGTGGAATTAAATGGAAGATAACCCTTTTTGCTGTTTTATTCAAGCATTCCGCTAACAACCCAATTTCATTACTTCATGATGCTCTAAAGTCAATTTTAAAAATTGAATATAATCGTAAAAACCATTTCTTTAATATTTTTCAATGGAAATTTTGTATATGATTTGCTCAATTTTATCTTTATTCTCAAAAAGCCTTCGGGTTTCGATGTATAATTTTTTATTCAAATTATATTCATGAAATTTAAATAAAGTTCGAACATGATATTGACCCTGGAAGATTTTACGTAAAACCGCAAGAAGGATTTAAAGAATGGAATTGATATTGAATTTGATATTCGCCTTAAAGTCCTTTGGTCTAATTTTTACTAAAATGGGTATTCCTCACTTTATTCGCTACAATCGCCGATTTCTAACAAGCGATTATTCAACCACGCGTAGTAGATATACCATCAGGCAGAGGAGACAATCCCCAACTATGTTGATGTGCATTATTTAGTTGCTGTTTGCGACGAATCGATAATGGATGTGAAAAGTGTCATTGTTATATCAAAGAAACTTGTGTTCGATATTTGAGAAAATAATCAGGATTGAATGTCCATCAAAGGAATCATTTATTCAGTTAAATTTTTTTCAAATTTCCAACTATGGCGGCACCAGTGGTGAAGTGGTAAGCGTGATTGTCTCTCACCTCAGTAGTCCTGTGTTCAATCCCAGTCAGCGCCACCGGAATGTCCTGAGGCATAACATCTCTGATCACGGAAGTAAAGCCGTTGGTCCCTGGTTTATAAGTTGATGGGTCAATAGGTAGGGTTCACGTGTGGGAGCTGCCTCACTGGCGTCGGTAGCATTGGGGCTCAGCACGGAAAACAAGATCGACGGAAAACAAATCAAGGAAAAAAAACTTCCAACTATCAGTAAAACTCTAACCATTGGTAAAAGCATGATTAACAAAGCTAATTTTCAAATCCGTCATGAAACATAATCTTTGACCACATGCACTCCCGATCATAAGATTGAGGTCACCTCCAAAAACTAACATGCAAATGTGTGATGTTCATATCTCTGTCATTTTACGCCTAAGATTCGTTCTCTGTCGGTTATTTGAATGGTATTGAATGGCTCAATATAATTTTCATATTTTGCTTACTAAAATTCCACCCAAAGTTATAACATTTTCAAAATTTACTTTGAAGAATCATGACTGATTTCTTCAGAACTGGGTTGACCAAATTTTGAAATGAAAGTATATAGTAGTAAAACCCTTATGCTATAAACAACGGGTCACTTTTGTGAAAATTTGGAGGAAAAATTTATAAAATATATAATTCATAAGAATATTTATTCAATTTACCGATCAAAAGTTTGGGGGGGTCACCCCATAGTATGATGTTTCATTGTTGTAAGTTATGGTGAATTTTTACTTTAAAAAATAAAAATAAATTGAACCATTTCTCACATTTCTAAACTTGGACGGAAAATAGATATGATAAAAACACATTTTCAGTTTTTATTTTGAGGATACACCCCCCCCCCCCGTCGTACTATGGGGTGATCCCAAAATTTTGATCAATGACTTGAATACATATTTTCATGATTCAAATATTTTCTATATTTTTCCACCAAATTTTCTCATCTGAAATCCGTTGAGTTTTGAAAAAGAGTTCTACCACCACTTTCATTTCATTTTCACAATTCTGAGAAAATTAGTTCAATGTAAATTTTGAGAAATGCTGTAACTTAAGGTGATCATTTAGTATACTGTAAAATAAATTGAGCCATTTAATGTATGAAGTTAATTTCATTCAGAACCTTTCAAATGGCCTAAGTAGAACGAAAATTGGACGGAAAGTGATGTATCACCAAATGTGCCTTAAATCATTCGCCATAAATGCAAATCCTCGTTGCAAATCAATAATGCAACATGCCTAGGTAGGCAGTAAATGGCCTTAATCGTGAATAATATTAGGCCATATCATAATGAGGCCGATATTTAATAAATGTAACTTTTTTAAAGCATAAGTATATGTTGGCCTTAGTCTCATGGGACCACAATATAGCCAAATATGAATGGAGTTTTCCGTTTTAGAAAAAAAAATCCAGATTATTACATAGTGTAATTTTTCCACAAATTGCACACTCACAACATTTTTTGCTAAAATACGAGAAAGGACGATTTAGCGAAAGCATCTGAATGCCTCATTTACACGAATAAAGTTTATAATAATAAATCGATGCCCAACAGATCGAATTTAAAACCACATCCTTCAACATTTGATCATCGCTTGGCACATGTCTTAAATTTATTTCAAAACCCCAGTAAATCAGTAATACAGTTCCAAGTTCCGTCTGAACATTGCCGGAAACTTTCTTACGGTTCGTCTCTTCTCACTCGTTAAAATCCATCAAAAATCCCCCAACAGTCCCCCCACTCAGCCAACCTGACAGCAAATCCGCAAGTGTTCAGTGAAGTTCCTTCCGATCCGATCGACCTACCTGTAACACGTCTGGAAGTTGTTGGCGATGGCAGCGACACACGAACTGCCTCAACCTGGAATGCACCCATCAGGACCAGAACGACAGCACCGAGTGCTATCGCGTTCACACTATTTCGCCAGTCTATGGCCATCATGACGGGGGTAGAGCCGCTGCACACACTCAAACTAATATTAGCACTTGAGAAGAATTTGCAAAACTTCCAACTAAGGAATGCCAAGCACCACTCAACAAACTGCTCCGATTTTTTTTTATTTTCCCCGTGAATGTATTTCCTTTAACTTTTCGTTTCCGGATCGCCGAACGAACCACTGTTTTAATCCTCTCTGTGATGGGGCGAGTATCTTCACATCGGCCGTACACACTTTACGCACACTTGATCCACCCTTGATTGGCTTGTTGTTTTTCAAATTCCTTACAAGGAATCCGGATTAATCCATGCGTGACAACAGTAGCGCTCCGCTGACTGCAGCTTGGGGTGGTGTTTCCACTTCGAAGGTTCACTTAGCAATGAAACACACGCGCACGGACCTAGCCAAGGTTGGCTCCGAGGAATGCCCAGGTGTTCCGCGACTTTCCAATATTTGGTACAGAATATTTACTACCGTCACACCGTGTCGTCAATCACTGATAAGATTTTCACCGACAGGATCGCCGGGTCGAATTCTGATGAAACAAACCAGTTGCCTGCGGGAGCACCGGATGGGACTACACAGATCAACTCCTTCGGGAGAGGGACTCGGACTTAAATCAATTACCGGGGGCTCGCCGTGAGGTAATATCAACACGCGACCCGTGCTATGCTCAGACTGGAATTGCAATCGAAAATGCGATCGCTATATAAAACCTTTCTCTTTGCAAACCGATCGGGCCCCCTTGGTCCGGTTGGGGCTCGGAACTGGGCTCTCTCGACTCTCTGGCACTCCAAGAGGGGGGTAGTCACGAACAAACTCTACAAACTATTCACACACGAGTCGTGACTACTCAAAAACACCTTAAGTAGACGCGGCTGCTCTAAGCTCTAACCACGCGAGGCGTTATGTTCCGTTACGGTTTCTTGTGAGCTTACCGCTCTCTGAGTCACCGAACTTAAGACCCCTTGAAAATTTCCTGAGCGCATGGTCTCAAGACCCACGCGAATCGATCAGCTGAGAATGGCAAGAGCGAGTGCGAGAGCTTATTGCCTCTCCGGTTGGAAAAACAAGTGGGGCACCAGTTCAGCTCAGAGCGCCGCCGCCGTCGCCACCGCCGAGCTTCGAACAGTGACCCCTTCCATAACAACAAAACTTGCTTCGGTATGCACTCACGTACCACCGACTCCCATGTAGATACGGTATTGTTACTCTCAAACGAGATCGAAAGTGAACTGTTTTATTTCTCTTGCTTCCCCCCGGGCCCGTCTCGGTCGGTCAGCAGCAGTGCGGTTGATCTTGTTTGCTTTTGAGCCGCTTCGTCGCATGCTCGGGCAGACACGGGGGTGGATGGGTGGCTGTTTGCTCTCCGGTGGTTGCCTTGTCTCCTTGTCTGATGGTGATTTTTTTTTTACCTTTTTCAGGTGCAACGGATCGACACAAACACACTCGGCCAGCAGTACCTACGTTACACGGCACGTGGAGCAGCGAAGGTGCGCGTGGAGACAGAGTTAGAGAGATAGAGCGCAATTTATATGGAGAGAGAGGAAGCTGTGTCCCGAGCGGTGTGATACATTCGATGCGTTGCTATACTTTCCATAATAAGTGTTTGAATTTGACGTTTTATTTGCACTGTTTTCGTATTTTTGACAAATCAAATTTTGCTTGATGAATAAATGAAAATCTCCAATCATAGCTGAATGCTCTGAGCCATGTGTAACAGAAGTCTAAGATCGTGACAAGACAAAAGCCATACATATGTTAGCCATACGGATAGTTGCCAGAATATACGTTTGCCATAATAGGCTGTAGCCAAAATATATGATAGCTATAATAGACGTTAGCCATAATTTTGAAGTTGCTTTATACCAGCGCTGCCCAACGTGCGGCCCGCGGATCTCAGTCTGGATCTCAGCAATGACCTAATTTTATTCATCATCATGAACTTTAGCCATTTAACCAAGATACAACCATTTTAAACAAAAGCCAATTTAGAAAGGTTAGGTAGGCCTGATTTTTACCATGTGATGATTTTTGGCGTTTACGTTTCTCTTGGAATTGACTCCTTCTTTATATCATGAACTGTTCTTTGACAGAAACATTATTTTCTCAAATCATTTCTCTCATGGAGCTCTTTCGATCATCAGCTAGTCTTTGACAAATATGTTTGCCAAAGCGCATGGGTTACATAAAATATTAGAACAGATTTTCAAAACGAGGGCTAACAAAATCGGGACATTACTGTAGTCACAAATTGTTTTTCTATTGGAGTTGACTTCTTTGATATCATGAGTTGATCTTTGACAGATCAAATCTTTTTGAAAAATGAATTTGCAATACTCTCAAATCATGTCTTTCTTGAAGTTGACTTCTTCTTTATATCATAAATTGATCTTTGACAGATCAAATCTTTTTGAAAAGTTCAATTGAAATGCTTACAAATTATGTTTCTCTTGGAGTAGGCTCCTTATTTAGATCATGAACAGTTTTTTGACAGATTCTTTATTCTTTATTCTTCATCACATCAAAGTGGATGCACTTCAATCGTGCCAAAAATATTGTGTAATATTACTTGCCAAAAGGACTAAATTATGCTTCTAATTACGCTGCTTTTACTGCATTTGTTTATTTTTGTGGCCATAAAAATTACATGAGATTTTTGACATGATTGAAGTGCATTCTCTTGGATGTAATATTGAAATTTATTTTTTGCTGTGCAGGGAAAAGCCCATTTGACGAATTTCACGCTATCTCTACAAATGGTTGGCAGCACCCTCTCAGATGTCAATGAAACTTTGTAAGTGTATCGATTTCATCTATGCAAAGTTGTAGCTTGAAGAACATTATGAAACCTGCAGATGAGTTTGCCACGTACTTCGTAGATAAAATTGATAAGTTAATCACTCATGACTTTATTTGTAAAGAACAGTCTTTATTTCTAAGGAACAATAAAGTAGAAGGGTCTGTGTCTAGGGGCACAAACGGAAGCTTGACGTAGGACTGCTAGTGGACGGAATAAATGTGAAGAGCATTTAGTTCTTTTAATTGATCAACTATATATTATCTCAACTCTTTCCTTTTTTGAATTGTAGGCGTACTAAATTTGTAGTAATTTTTTTCAAAGAAAAAGTTGATTAAGATAATCAACCAAAATCACTTGCACCCCTGGTTCCAAGTTTGGTAACAAGATTACAACAGAGCATTTTGTGTGGTCGTTGGGGGCTTGTGGTTCTGAATATGGACAAACAAGCACAGATAAATTCTATTCGAACTCTTCACTGATGTAAGCTTGATGGCCCTGAAAAGGGCCGTTTTATTGAAGAGGACATCGATGGCCACTTACATTTGGCGTGTTTAGTGTAGGTGACAGCATCACAGACCTCATTTTCCAGGTACACCTTCAGCACACCTCGTAGATCAGACCGGAGATACGTTTGACACCACCACGGCGAGCCAGACGACCGATGGCGGTTATCTCGAAGAACTTTGCGATGAAGCTTGGCGCCTCCTTTACCAGACCTTTTCCTCTTTTGCCACAACCAGTCCATTGTTGCTTGTTAGGTGTGAAGGAGTGGACTAGCCACCACTTTCCTACTGCTGCTATTGCTGTTCACGACGCCGTCCGAAGCGAAAATGAGCTAATGCCATACAGCAGCGTTCTTTTATATCTTTTCAGGTTAAAGCAGAATGATGTGCAACCAAGTCGTATGAAAGCTACAAAGACTCCTCCCATTATGAGTAGTTTGCTATCAAGTAGCGACACTGGCTCTTTTCCTTTTGCGTACACGGCGAATGAGAACGATCCAAATTTGAATTTAGTTCACTAATAATCGCCAAAAATGCAGCAACTCAGCGATGAGTAAATTTGTCTCATGGTTTGTTTCGGCGCCGAAGGTTAGCGTGATTACCTCTCACCCCAGCAGGCCTGGGTCCAATCTCAGTCGGCACCACCGGCATGTTCTAAGGCATAACATCGCTGATCACGCCTTCCTTCGGGAAGTAAAGCCGTTGGTCCCCGGTTGAGTTGATGGGCCGATTGGTAGGGTCCAGGTGTGGGAGCTGCCTCCCTGGCGTCGGTAGCATTGGCGCTCAGTATGGAAAACAAATCTCGCGTCACTTTTCAATAGGTCCCATCTACATTGATCGATTCTCTTAACCGACACTCTCTTTCGTAAATAACTCGGCTTCACAAATGTTTTCTGCCGTCTTCGTCGAATTAGATGCTAGATTGTTGCTTCTTCCATCGAAAATACCCGGCCGTGGCGATTCAAAGTTGATCAAGTTGATCAAAATAATATGTACCCCTGCTTCCAGTTTGATTAGAGGAGCATTTTGTGTGATCGTTAGTTCTGAATATGGACAAACAGGCAGATGAATTCTATTCCTACTCTTTACTGTAATAAGCTTGGTGGCCCTGAAAAGAACCGTTTTGTTGCCAAAGTTGGTGATGATTTAACCTCCGAAACCAAACAGAGTGCGTCTCTGTCACTTCAAAACGTAGATGACATCTCATTTTTCAGGAACACCTTCAGCACACCTCGTAAATCAGACCTGAGATACGTCAGACACCACCACGGCGAGCCAGACGACGGATGGTGGCTATCTCGAAGAATTTGCGTTTGGTTCTGAATATGGCGATGAGTGTGCAAAATATTACGCAATTCCATCCTCTCTATTCGCACGCGCCCGAGGATCGGAGGCGAATGCCACTTCGACTTGTTTCGTCTACTTACTACTCTCTGACGACTGTGCTGGGGAAGCAGCATATGCATGTAGGTAATTGGTGGATTTGTTAGTTAATTCGACGCTTTTGAACAATACTGGACATTCACCAGTTTTTCAATAGTTTCTTGTTGAAAATCAACATTCGGAAGCATTTGTATCGATGCGTAGCCATATTGGGGTTCGATTGGTGATACAATTATTGAAATTGGACCAGGGGCAGCTGAGTTATTAACGTTCAAAATCTTTCTTAATTTGTTACATGCTCGATTTTCGGTTTTCACAAAGTGTACCCCCATATAGAAA